AAAATAATAAAAAAAAAAAAAAGATGTTGGCATGGATATAGTGAAAAGGGAACACTTCTACACAGCTGGTGGAAATGTAAACTAGTGTGAAGATTCCTTCAGGAATTAAAACTATCCAGCAATCCCACTACTGAGTATCTACCCAGAGGAAAAGAAGTCATTATACAAAAAAGATACTTGCACACACGTTTATAGCAGCACAATTCACAATTGCAAAAATGTGAAACAGCTGAAATGCCCATCAATGAATGTATTAAAGAAATGGCATTTGCAGCAACCTGGACAGGATTGGAGACCATTATTCTAAGTGAAGTAACTTAGGAATGAAAAACCACAAATTGTATGTTCTCAATTGTAAGTGGGAGCTAAGTTATGAGGGTGTTAAGGCATAAGAATGATACATTCATTGTATCATTCTTATGGAGACTCAAGGGGAAAGGTTAGGAATAAGGTGATGGATAAAAGACTACAAATTGAGTTCAATGTATACTGCTAGGGTGGTGGGTGCAACAAAATCTCACAAATTACCCACAAAAAACTTATGTAACCAAATACCACATGTTCCCCAAAAACCTATGTAAATAAAAAATTACAGAGTTAATAAATAAAATTGTACACATACAAAAAAGCCGTAGGTTACTACTTAACACCGACTATGATGGTTATAATTTTAAAAACGAAAAAACAAGTGGTGGTGAGAATGCAGAAAATTTTTAGAACTTGATTACATTGGCGATGGAAATGTAAAATGGTACCATTTCTGTGAAAAATAGTTTTGTGGTTCTTCAATGAGTTAAACATAAAAGTAAAATATGACCTAACAGTTCCACCTCTGGGCTTGGATACAGGTGTTCAAAGAAAAACTTGTATATAAATGTTAAAAGGAGCACGATTTACAATAGTCAAAGGCTAGAAATAACCCAATTGTTCATCAACTGCTGAAAAGATAAACAGAATGTGATATCTTCACAAAATGAAATATTATTCAGCTACAAGAAGCAGGAATATGGTTACATGCTACAGCATAAATGAACCTTAAAAACATTCTGTGTTTAATTTTAAGTGGAAAAAAGCCTGACACAAAAAGCCATTTTGTATGATTTCATTTACATGAAATGTCTAGGATATGCAAATCATGGAGACAGAAGAATAGATTAGGGATTGTCAGTGGTTGGAGAGTGGCTGGTTAGTTGGAACAGAATGAACTTTGGATACTCGAGGGAAGAGTGGGAGGAGTGATGGATAAAAGACTACATATTGAGTACAGTGTATAGTGCTTAGGTGGTGGGTGCACCAAAGTCTCAAAAATCACCACCAAAGAATGTATGCATGTAACCAAAAACCACTTGTATCCCCAAAATTACTGAAATATGTGTATATATATATATATGTATAAATATTAGTTGATTGCAGCATTAATCATAATAGCAAAGACATGGAATCAACCTAAATTGTCATCAATGACGGACTGAATACAAAAAATGTGGTACATATACGCCATGGAATACTATGCAGCCATAAAAAAGAACAAGGTCATGTCTTATGAGGGAACGTAGATGAAGCTAGAAACCATTATCCTTAGCAAACGAATGCAGAGTCAGAAAAAAATACTGCATGGAGCTAAATGATAAGAACTCATACACACAAAGAAGGAAACAACATACACTGGGGCGTACTTGAAAGTGGCGGTAGGAGGAGGGAGAAGAGCAGAAAAAATAACTATTGGTTATTTTGCTTAGCACCTGGGCGATAAAATAATCTGTACAAGTAACATCCGTGACAAGGGGTTTACCTATGTAACAAACCTGCACATGTACACTTGAACCAAAAAAAAATTTTTTTTTAAATGGCAAAAACAAATAAATTGGGGGAAATTTAAAAAATTTCTCTTGGCCGGGCACGGTGGCTCAAGCCTGTAATCCCAGCACTTTGGGAGGCCGAGGCGGGTGGATCACGAGATCAAGAGATTGAGACCATCCTGGTCAACATGGTGAAACCCCATCTCTACTAAAAATACAAAAAATTAGCTGGGCATGGTGGCACGTGCCTGTAATCCCAGCTACTCAGGAGGCTGAGGCAGGAGAATTGCCTGAACCCAGGAGGCAGAGGTTGCGGTGAGCCGAGATCGCGCCATTGCACTCCAGCCTGGGTAACAAGAGCGAAAGTCCGTCTCAAAAAAAAAAAAAAAAAATTTTTATTCCATCTTCTTGACCTCTCATTTGCAAACAGAGGTCCACATGCACCAATGTTTAGGACCATCACAAGTAGCATCCCAGAGGAATAGCAGTGCTGAGGGAGTTAGGCATTAAGGACATCACAGAGTATATTTATTCTTTGGGGACTTCAGCAAAAACTGGAAAGACCAAAAGGCCTTTGAGATGGGGAGACTTTAGAGTTCAGAAATGACTTCCTGCTTTTTGAGCAATGCCCTATTTGCTGGGAGAAGATCATGAATTTGGGTTGAGGAGGATGAAGAAAGATGTTGAGTAGGTCTCCAGAGACAATTCAAAAATTGTTAGTTGAATATTGACCCTGGACTCTATGTCATCTCTGTATCTGGAATGTCATTTCTGGCTACCATGAGCACAGAGTAGTAGCTGAATAAAGATTAATGTAATGAATGGCCATAGGAAGTACACTGACATGGTGAATATCATTCAAGAAAGGGCAGTCACTGTGTTTGCCTAGCAGGGCTGGAATTTAGGACTCTGTCAGTTATTCAAATAAAATGGGTGCCAGGCACATGGGAAGTCAATATGAACTCCAAGTCTTTTTCTGCTCAGGAAGCCAGGGGTTCCAGGATAGTTTTTATCCACTCAGAGCACAAATTATGTGATTCCCCAAAAAATGAATTCCATGCTGGTGATAGGGTGTATGATCCTTTATCAAAAAGAGAAGTGACCAAGACTGTGACAGGGAAGGTGTAAGGAGGAGAGTGTACCCAATCAGAACACAAGAGCTTCCAGTGAGAGGGGAAGGAATTACATTCCATACTGAAAAGAAACAAGGAAAGGAGCATGAAGAGTGTCATCCACTGTGTGTTGGCACCTCAAGGTATCTGCATGCTAAGGGTAAGGGGAGAGGCATACCCATGAGTGAGGCTGGAGTTGCAGAAGCTGTTGCAATGAACATGAGGAGAGAAATTAATGATTGAAATGACACCCGAGATGGTACTTGCACACAAAAAGCCTATTTGGTGGGACTGTCTTTAAACTACCTTCATTGATTTTTAGGTAATATGTTGTTTTTCTTTTCCTAAGTGGCTCTCCTTACATGCTATGAAGCAGATAATCACAGCTCTTCTTGTGGGAAAAGAGCTGTCATTCTGCTCTCTTGGTAGGAACTCCAGGAAGCTGAGAATGGAGGGTGAAGAGAAGTGCTGCAAACATTGCCAAAGAAAATGAAAATAGGTGTCTGGTTGGTTTCAGCAAAAATATGGAGTAGTGATTGCTGTCTATTTTACATTGCCCCTCTAAGATAGGTGTGTGATAATGTGTTTCTTTGGTCACCTCACAGACACCACATCCTGATTAGATAAGTTACTGCACTTCGCTCTGAGCCTGTTCCTGTAATTGAATTGCCCTCAGAGATTCCTTACGGGGTTCGTGTTTTTGGTATGTGGGAAAGATATAAGCCAGTTGCATCTGAGTGAAACTAGTTGCCAAGAACGGTCCCTCATGACTACAGTCACAATAACCACAGCTTGTGGAGTCCTCTTCTTTTGATTAGGGCTGTGTGACTCACCTTGATCGATGTACTACCATAGAAGTGACACTGTCTGCTATTCAAAGGTAGGTCCTAGGATGCCATGCACCTTCTCCATGAGCCTTTCGGAAGGCTTTCTTTGGTGAAAGCCAATCACCATTTATTAAGTCCAAGAACTGTGAGGCTCTCATTATTTGAGGAAATTAAAGCAATAAATGGGAAGGTGAAGTAGTGAAGGAGATAACCATCCTGTTTTCAGGTGTTCACTCAGCTCTAGTGTTGAGTTGGACATGAGTAAAGCATTCTCTGAAATCCCAACCTAAAACATCTCTCAGAAAACTTGACTCCCATCACATGATCTAACACACGAGTTTAGTAACCTGTAAAGCTGGGAGAGATCAAAACAAATAACTGCTTTTAGCCAATATGTGTTAGGAGGTTTGCTATGCTGCAATTCATCACTGGAATAGCAGCAAAGCAGGATCTGCACACTATGTCCATATACATGAATTGTGTCAATTCCAGTAATAATCTACATGTTCTCTGCTCTAAAACCATGATCATTTATTTCCAAAGAGAAGCCCCTGGATTCTCCCCACATAAAATGAAAAAAAAAATCTTCAAATATTTGCAAATAAGAATAATTTGGATTCTTTAAGGGATTCTCTTAATTATTACTTGGATTGAAAACTTCACATGCAAAACTTGTCATCTTTTTTTTCACTTCCTTCACACCAGGCCTCACAAAGCCAGGCACAGTGTTCGTAGACAATAAGCATCCTGAGAACAGTGGGAAAAATTAAGAAATTCCACATAATTTTTCTCAAGTTATAGGTACTGCCCAAAGCCATCAAGTACACCTGCATGGCTGTAAACAGCTACCTAATTTTCAGTGCCGTAAGTCCTGAGATTGGGTAAGTATTTTGGTTTAGACTGTGTGATGTAAACTACAGGCTACAGAAGGATGCTGTTCCTAATGTCTTCTCAGACATTCCAGGGACCTTGTCACTCACTTCTTCACAGGAAGGTTTATCCCCTTTGATTTCCTGATGCCTCCCATAGAATGTGCTGGCCCCTTTTGGGAATGACTACTTCCTCTTTCTTCTTCTTTAAGCAAGAACCAAATTATGTGAGGTTTCGTGCTGTTTTAATGACCAAGCATAGGGGAAGGGGTGAGGAGGGATTGTTAACAGGCTCTAGGAATACCATGGCCATATAGAAAAATGGATTCCTCAAAAATGAAAAGTGTGATCACCTCCCTCAATTGTAGACACACACTGAGGTCAGGGAGACATCTCTCCACACTTGAATCATCTTCACATGTGATGGTGGGTGTCGATGGGCAAAGCCGTAAATGTATTGCCCATTTACCTTTACCTACAAGAGGAAAAATGCATCAGACAGTATGCCACCAAACAAGTTTTCAGCTTCTTCACTCTGCCCTAGGACCAATAATATTTCCTAAGAAAACTCCTAGTTATACAAGTGGACGTGGTAGACACACTTCTGTTTACAGATGACATTTTGTGCCTATTGAGACAGTTGATGACTTTATTTCTAATGCTTCCTTTCATTTCTCTAGTGAAGTTCTGCACTGTGTCACACAGTCCCTGTTAACTCAGCCTCCCTTCTAGCCTGGATGATCCCCATCACCAGAGCCTGTGTCTCAGGAACTTGAGACCCTGCATGTTGCACAGAGCCTGCCACAGGGTTAGTGCTAGACCATGTCCATTGAATGCATACTTTTCACTTCCATGAACTGTGACTGCCTTTTACTACTGATGGCACAGTTTTTCTTTGGAGTAGCCTACATCTGAGGTGGCAGTGGCAAAGAATGAAAGCCAGTGTTGTTAGAGAGTCAAAGGAGGACAGGTGTTGTAAAACATAGGATATTATCTTCAACCACTTCTAAGCACAGGAAAAGATCCCTCACTTGAATCTGAATAAAACGTGAATCTTTTGGCCTGCTCATTAGAGAAAGCCGGAAAGTATGGATATATTCCTTATACTGAAGCTATAGAGGAAGTCACCTTATTAGTATTAATTTTTCAAATTTAAAATGCACACATTTTTCAACAGTTTTTTCATTTTTTTGGTAATTATCTTCCAATATAAGTATTGGGAGGTTGGTAATGACAAAAGGATTGATTAGAAAACTTAATACAGCATCACTTGTGAGAGCAAAATGCTGGAAACAACTTTAATGCCCAAATTGGGTAAAGTTCAATAATTTTGAGTAAACTTTTTCATGCAATATTATTCAATCTTTAGAAACTAAAGCAGCACCATGGGTTGATAATGTCTTCAAGATATATTCTTTGACAACAAATCAACTTAGTTTCTAAAGTGTAATGTGTAGAGTAACTTATACCAGGATTTACTTAAAAACAAATGAAATCATAGACATATCTATATGCTTCCATAGGCAAAGATTTCCTCTGAAGGGTGGGCATGGTGGCTTAAGCCTGTTATCCCAGTATATTGGGAGGCCGAGGTGGGTGGATCACTTGAGATCAGGAGTTCAAGACCAGCCTGGCCAACATGATGAAATCCTGTCTCTACTAAAAATACAAAAATTAGCCTGGTGTGGTGGCAGGCATCTGTAATCCCAGCACTTGGGAGGATAAGGCAAAAGGATCGCTTGAATCCAGGAGGTGGAGGTTGCAGTGAGCTGAGATCACAGCACTGCATTCTCACCTGGTTGACAAAGTGAGACTCTATCTCAAAAAAAAAAAAATTCTCTGAAGGAGTGCAGAGCTCTAGTAATGTTCTTATGAGTAGAATTGGGGCCCAAAAGTGATATGAAGGCTTAATTTTTGACTGATTAAAACAACTTTTTTCTTAAGTATATTGTATTTACTCAGCTTAAAGAAAATTTGATTAATGGCGTAAGTAGAAAAGAGCACTATGGGAAAAGACAGAGGAGAGTCTCTACTTTGGGGAAAATGGAAGGTGAGCTGACCTTGACCTTGGTCGGATTTGGGAAAGAGCTGAGAATGGCAGTGCAAGCAGAGGGCGCTCTGTGATGAAAACCTGGGGCAGGAGTAGTTATGGGAGATGGGCCCCAAGGGACTGGTGAGGCCAAGTCAGTGAGAGCTGCCTCCTGCTCTGGGGGCCCACAGAGCCTGGGTGCTGGGAGCTCCTAGGGTGCTCACCTCGTACTCACTGTGACGCACGTAGATGCGCAGGTCAAATGGTTCGCCATCCTCAAAGGGCACATAGTGTAATTTCTCTTCCAACTTCCATACCCCAAACTCACGACTGTTCATGACCACACGATGGCCAAAGTGCACTCGGAAATGGAAGGCAATATCTGAGTCCTCATCCGTCCTAGTGTAGAAATCCACCTGCAGCTCTGGGTCATTGCTGAGGGCAAAGCACACAGCAGGTTGGGCAGCTCCCTCCCTTGCACAAACACCCAGACAAATCCCGTCCCCCCTTTACCCAGGGCAAAAGTCTCCCTGATGATACTGCATGCTTGGTCCCTGTGGGGATGCTTCAGCTCCTCATGCCCCCGGCAGGAAGATGCTGTGCTCCTCATCCCCAGATGAAAACTGAGCCAGTCACTGACCTGGGCCTGACTTGTTCATTCCCTGAAAATTCAATGCCCCTTGATGAAGAGCTCCAACTCCAACCCACTGAGTGTTCTCCTCCTCTAGGCCCCATGGCTTGCCCACATGCAGTTGCTGCAGGTCTGATGCCGGGTGCTGGAGGGTCTCCAGGACCTGCACCTGCATGAAGCCTCCATCCTGCCAGCTAGACATTTCCACATCACTCACACATAACATCAAGCCCTTAGCAAATATTCTCCCTTCTCCACCCCCTCCTTTGGACCGTGGAGTACTCACAGAAAAGAGAGGTTCGGTCTCCCTTTGATAATCACACAGGAACCAATAGACAAGGACACAGGAAGTTTGTATGGCACCTGCCAGGGTATTGAGGGTGAGTGAGAGGTGCAGGGTCAGGTGCAGCCTCCCCTCCTGTAACAGATTCCCATGGTGCAGGAGTTTAGAGATCAAAGGACAGACTCCGAGGCCTCCCCCTTTCACCCCACCACAGTCAGGGGCTCATATTCCTGAAGATACGGTGGACCCATACGTAAAAGCAAGAGTTCAGGATCCAGGATGCCTGGATTCCGGTCCTCATTCTGCTTCCTCCTAGCAGTGCATCGTAGATCTGTTACATGAACTCTACTTGCTTCATTTTCCCCAGCACAAGGAGAATTATCAGGAATTCCTACTTTGTACGATGTTCTCCGTAATAGGGGAGTTAATTTATGTAAAACTTTTACCCTAATCCTTGGCATGTGTAGGGCCTGTTAGGGGTGAACTAGCAGAACAGGGGAGTCCTCCTGAAACACTGACCTGCCTTCATTTTCAACTCAGAAAATGAAATCAAGACTTGAGGATGTAAGAATTTAAAAATTCACTCCAGTAAAAAACAATGCTTGTTAAAAGAGAAAGGGAAATAGTGAAAGAACAGGAAACCCCTGTGTGAGGGATGCACATGCATCACAATCATCGAGGGCAGTGGACGTCCTTCCCAGAAGGGGACACATTGCTGAGAGCACAGCCCCAGGACTTGCACAAATGAAGCCTGTGGGTCAGGGACATAACTGGAGGGAATCATTGATTTCTACGACGACTACAAGTGGTTGATGATTTTTTTGTATTTTTGAGATAGGGTCTTGCTCTGTCGCCCAGGCTGACATGCAGTGGTGCAATCATAGCTCACGGAAACCACAAACTCCTGGGTGGCAGTGATCCTCACACATCTGCCCCCTCTTGAGTAGCTGGGGCAAAAGGTACCTGTCACTCTGCCAGTTGATATTTAAAGGTTTTTTTTAAATAAAAGGCCTCACTGTGATGCCCAGAGTGGTCTCAAACTTCTGGCCTCAAGTTATTGTCCCATCTTTGCCATTGGTGGGATTATAGCCATGAGCCAGTGAATGCAGATACTTGGTTGATTAATATCCTCTGTAAGCTCTGTCTGAACTGAAAGTAAACTTGTTCTTTCGTGGGTGGAGGAACAAGTTTAGTCTCAGTTCAAACAGAGCTTACAGTGGATATTTGGCGTTATTCAGTCTCTGAAACCATGGTCTCTAATGTCCTTCCCTAGCAAATCAGTATCTGCACACCCTCCTGTCCCAAGATGGGAAGAATAGGCTGGGTTGGGAGCAGGGAAGCTGAGCCTTGGAGGCAAGAGCCAGTGATAACTCTGTGCAGACCCCAACTGTGAAATCATCACCCCTAGTCTGCATTCCTCTTCCTCACTCTTACTGGGAAGAGACATTTACAGATCACACATTCCACTCTCATAAGTGATCTGAAACAAGTCCTCGATAACTCACAATCCCCAAGATCCCCACCAGGTAAGCCACCTGGGATCCACATTGACACACATGAAAGGACACACAGCTTCTTCATCAAAGGTGCTGCTGTGTGGGGAGGAACATTTACATGCACAGAAAGCCACATGCATGTTCCCACTTCAACACACAGTAACATCCCAGCACACACACCCACAGACACACAGAGCCACTCTACTCACTGAGTCATACACACTTGCTCACTGTGCACATAAGATGCACATGCACTGGTCTGGCTGTGCTCACACACACTTACTTCACAGTCATGAAGACAATGCACACTCACTCCCTTATACTCACACACACACCTGCTCAACCTGGTGGTGGGAGGCCATCCACCTCCCACATAAAGTCACATCATCTCAGCAGATTTCACTCTCATCAGACATTATCACATGCTCACAGAGGGTTACACTGGTCCAGGGTCCACACCCCACACCCCACAAGCATCTCAGATACCGTAGCCTCAGGGTTTCTCTTCCACACACCCACAACTGTCAGTAAAGCATTCACAGAAGCAATGCTTATATTTTCATCTCATAAAATCTCCCAGTTTTTTTGTTGTTGTTGTTGTTTGTGTGAGTTGAGATTATTGAAGGCTGTGCCTTTTCAACTCACGGGTAGAGATGACATTGGTCTCTCTGGGCGTCTCTGCGGAATTGTGTCCAGTCTTCTGAGTGATTCTCTGAGTTGCAACATTTAAATGATCCATTATAGCCGTGCCCTCTGGCTTCATTCCAGATTCCACGCTCCTCCCAGAAACCTTTCCTTGCAGCGTGAGAAAAGCTAAGGTGTCAGGAAGAAACTCAGTCACAACCATAGCTACTTGCAAGACTGTGTCTGTAATGCAGCAGAAATTACCATGGGGGAGGTACCAGGCTGTAGATTGGGTTACCAGAGAGATGCATAGATAAGAATGATGGCGTTAGGGGAAGTGATTGTAAAGCCCAGACTTTATGCCTCTCAAGCCTTTTCTCCACTATGCAGAATCTACCCAGAAGGTGTACATTTTCCCAATCTTGTACAATGGCTAAAAAAAAAAAAAAATTGGGAGATTTGGGGGAAACACGTTAGCTCTAGAAGGTAATTCTTCTCTCTGCCTTTAAACATTCCATGAGAGCACTGACCTTGATCCTCAGGAGGATCTAGGGAGAGAAGTAGAGAAAGTTCCTGCATGAACCTGCCCCATACTAAGCTGCTTGGTTCTGCCAGGTGAGGGCTACTCTCATCTGACTGTCACATACCTGGATTCTAGCTACCCCCTCTCCTTTCTCTTGGTGTTCAAGTAAATCAAAGTTTCAGAAACACTGTTTCTCCTGCAGATTCTGAGAGAAAGGTGAGATTGTTTATTTTTTTTTAACTTTTATTTTAAGATCGGGTATGGTATGGTGATAAAGTTGTGTCATGGGGTTTGCTGTACATATAATTTCTTCATCTGGGTTCTTTATTTCCTTCCCTACCTCATCTCCAAATTAGTGCCTTGAATTTCCTGAAATCCTGAAATCATAATCAATGATTGGCTTCCACCAAAAAAAAAAAAAAAAAAAGGCTTCCAAAGTCTCAGGAAAAAGGTGCAAGGCATCATAGGCCTTGGCTTTGAAAGGCAGGCGATGTGACTTCTATATTGATCAAGGTGTCACAAAGAAAGCCCAAATTAAGGTAAGGGAAATCCACAAGCTGTGGCTATTTTGACTTGTCATCATGATGGGGCCATCTTTGGAAATGAGTTCCACTTAGCCTCCACTGGCTGATATGCTTCCCACATCCCCAAAACACTTATCTTCTGAAGAACCCCAGAAAACAATACAATACAGGAACAGGCTCAGACTGAAGTTCAGTATTTTATTATCTAAATCCAGACCTGGTGTTCATGAGGTGAGTACAAACTATCAGGTGCACTTTTTCTCAACATTTTCACTAAAGAGATAAATTATTTACCCTATACAAATCAAGCACACAATACTGAAAGAGAAATAGAAAAAATGCAACGAACATATCTATTTTATAGTGTCCACAGAAAATAGACAGCAGTCACTGGTTTATATAATTACAGAAACCAGCCAGATGCTTAATTTCATTTCTTCTGGGAATGTTTGTTTGCAGCAATTAGCCCCACCCTCCATTCTTAACTTCTTGGAATTCCCACCAAGATGGCCGAATCACAGCCCTTTTCCCTCTACAAGAGCTGTGATTCAGGGAGGGGAACATCACACACTGGGGCCTATTGTGGGTAGGGGAGCTAGGGGAGGAATAGGAGGGTGTGAGGGGATTGGGGAGGGATAACATTAGGAGTAATGCCTAATGTAGATGATGGGGGAATGGATGCAGCAAACCACCAAGGCATGTGTATACCTGTGTAACATATTCTGCATGTTCTGCACATGTACCCCAAAACTTAAAGTATAACAATAATTTTTAAAAGATAGAAAGAGCTGTGATTATATGCTTCTGTGCACATCTAAAGAACCACTTAGGAGAAATGACATATTACCTACAAACTAAAATATGCAAATGGAAGAGGGTTCCATCAAATGGCCTCTCTTCCACAGGACTCATCTCAGGCATCATTTTGATTCTCCACATCCTCCCTCCCCTTGTTCATTGCAATAGCTCACTCAGCTCCAGTTCTACTCATGGGTATGTTTCTCTCCTTACGCATCTTTAACCTAACTTCCAGATACCTTGAGGTGCCAAACCACAGCTAATCAAGCTCTGCACAGCTTTCTCCCTCATTTCATTCCAGTATGAAATAAAATTCCTTCTCTCACTGGAAACTCTTGGATTTTGAATAGGTACACTCTTCTTCGTATACCTTCCCTGTCTCAGTCTGGATTAGTTTTATATTTTGATAATGGATTATAGGCCCCATCACCAGCATGGAATTAATTTCTAGTGGAATTAAGAAATTTTTGCTCTGAGTAAATGAAAATCATCCTAGGACCCATGGCTTGCTGAACAGAAAATGCCTTTAATTTCATATTGACTTGTCTCTTGGCTGGTAGCTATTGTATGTGAATAACCTACACAGTCCTACATATTGGCTTTGCTATACAAACACATAGTGAATGCCCTTTCTTGAATAATGTTCATCAGCTAAGTGCATGTTGGCCATTGGCTGTGCTCATCTTTATCTCGGATACTACTCTGTGCTCATAGTAGCCAGGAATCATGCTTCAGATACAAAAAGAAAACACAGAGTTCGGGAGTCAATGTTCAACAAACAATATGTGAATTGCCTCTGGGGACCTACTCAACAACTTTCTCTCTCCTCCTCAATCAAAATTCCTAATATTCTCCCAGCAAATAGGGCTTTGCTGCCTGAAAAACAAAAAGTCATTTCTGAACTCTAAAGCCTTCCCTTCTGAAAGGTCTTTAGGTCTTTCCAGTTATTGCTAAAGCCCCCCGAGGAATAAATCTGCTTTGTGACACTGTTGTCCTTGATGCCCAGATCGTCAAAGCGATTAAAAACAACAAACAAAAAACAAAACGAACACACCTTTCTGGTGCTGTTCATGGTGCTGAACATTGATGCATCTATTTGCAAGTGATGAGCCAACAAGATAGAATAAGAGAGGGGCTTTGTTTTGTTTTTGACGAATTATAGCCCAAAATCTCTATAATGGATGCAGCCAGAATTCATTTTGGATTTTCAAATGAAAATTTGTGATTTATTTTGTTAGCATGAATTTTAATGCTACAGGGTTTAAGATAGGAGAGAAGCTCAATTTTTAATTTAGTAATCCTTATATGGTTCACTCAATAATTATGAAAATCTTACCCTTTCCCCTTAAATAGACACAACATAACTTTGGTTGTAACTCAATATGAGTTAACAATTATTCTGAATACTAAAATACATGTTCTAGCTATATGGAGAGGAGGTAAGAATTAAGCAAAAGTGACAAACAGTATCAAAAACAGAAGAGATATGCCACAACATGCTTTTGCCGCTATATTTATATGTTATTTTTAGAGAGCATAGAATGAGTTAAGAAGTTCTCAGAGGTATCATAAAGGCTAGATTTCTATCAGAAAAACATGGATGCCAATGTAAAAGGTTTACACTTTCTTCTGAAGACATCTGTAAGCTCTGGAGAGCTACCAAAGAAAAAAGTGCCTTGATCATCATTTGACAGCAGAAACTATCTATTAGATGGAATAAAGAATAAATGCCAAGTGTCTGCCACACCTGAAAATTCAATGTGAATTTCTCTGCAGTGTGGGAAGAAATGTTGATGAGGGAGTTGGGGGATGTCAATGGCAACAGGCACAGAGAAGATGTTCAACGTATGTGTGTGAAGGGAATACAGAAATGAGCATGTGAGCAGATATGCCCAGTTATAACTGGAAGAACCAAGGGGACATTGTTTCTCCTGGATTCTTGTGATATTTCCTTCTTCTTCCTTGGTGGCTGCTATGGTTTGAATCTGTGTCCCAAAGTTCATGTGTTAAAAAGTTAATTCCCAATGCAAGTGTTTTGAGATGGTGTGTAATAAGAGATGATTATGTCACAAAGGCTCTGCATTATTAGATCAATGCCATTTTCACTGGACTGGGTTAGTTATTACGAAAGTAAATTTATTATAAAAGCAAGTTTGGCCTTGTCTTGCTTTCTTGATCTCACTCCTTGTCATTCCACCTTCTACCATGAAATGGTAGAACAAAGGCCCTGGCCAGATGCTTGTGCTATGTTCATGGATATTCCAGCCTCCAGAATTGTGCCAAATAAATTACTACTTGTTATCGATCATTCAGTCTTTACCAACAGCACAGCATAGGCTAAAGTGGAAGTGAAGGGCTGGCCCAGGCTGGGAAGACAGAAATTATTGTTATAAGCAGGGTTTTTACAAGGTGGCCTAGTCCATAACAGGCACTCACCTTCAGTTCAGCATTTGAATGTTTTGAGGCTAGTGAACTAGTGGGAATGGAAAATAGAATTTAAGCCTCACTCAATGGCTCTGTGTTGAGACATTTCTGACAGCAGAAAGCGTAATATGGAAAGTATGAGTTGAGATGGGAGTCATGCCATGGGAAGAAAGAGACCAAGAAGTGTTTCCTGGACACTGAGAAGTGTCTTCCATCTCATGGTGACCTCTTCCCCAGCACAGCTGGTTAAGGCATGTGTCTTTACTTCTCAAGATATTGGCATAATGATGAGGGATAGTATTTACTAACTCCTGAAAAAAATAACAAAGACAAATCCAAGATGTGTAATGTCTAAAAGTGACTTTGCAAGTGTCTGTTTTTATTGTGTCCCAAGTATAACCACTTTAAAACTACAGTAATCAAAACAGTGTGGTGCTGGCTTAAGGACAGACATAGAAATCAATCAAGTGTAAAGGAGAGCCAGAAAGTAGACATATACATAGGTGGTCACTTGAGAGTCAACAAACATGCCAGGACACCCTTTCAGGAAAGGACAGTCATTTCAACCAGTGATTTTGGGGAAACTGGATTTCACAAGCACAAGGATGTAGTGGGCCCTTACCATAGCCACACACAAAAATTAACTCAAAATGTATCAAACAATAAATATAAGGCCTGCAAATTTAATATCTTAGAAGAAAACATAGAATAATATTTCATGACATGGGATCTTAATATGATTTCTTGGATATGACACCAAAACCACAAGAAGCATAAGAAAAAGACTGCTAAACTGGATTTCATCACACAAGAAGTGTAAGAAAAA